TATGGACAGAAAAAGAAAAGTGACATAAAGAAAATGGAAGTGAGGTACAGAAACAGCCAGACTGGTTACAGCTCTGTGTCTGCCTTTTGAAAATAAGATTTGAACACCTGTGAGTAGTTGAAATAAGGCTTCTGTGATTGGCTGAGACTCAGCTACTTGTTATAAGCATAGGTTACAGTGTGTTTTCACATCATTAGATTAATGTTCACTATGTATGCAAAAACTTTTAGGCCAAACTTAAAATATGTAAGGAAACAGATTTAAGGCTAAATTTAACAGCATCAACTCTTCTCACTACCTTAACTTATTTCCTTGATCATTAGTGTAGCTTATTTTTTATGTCTCCATGATCATTTATATTTCCCCTTACATATATTGTTATTGTTTATTTATTTACTTTTTTGTTTTATTATTAACAGACAGGATCTCACTTTGTCACCTGGGCTGGAGTGCAGTGGCATGATTATAGCTCATTGCAGCCTCCAGCTCCTGGGTTCAAGAGATCCTTCCACCTCAGCCTCCTGAGTAGCTAGGACTACAGATGTGTACCACCCTGGCTAATGTTTAAATTTTTTGTAGAGAGGAGGTCTCACTATGTTGCCCAGACTTATCTTGAACTCCTGGGCTCCAGTGATTCTCCTGCCTTGACCTACCAAAGTGCTAGAATTATAGGATTATAATTATGGGATTATAAATCAGCCACCATGCTCTGCCATTTTTTTTTTGTTTTTGATTCATTCATTCTGTTGGAATTATTTTTTTCTTGTTGATCTAAAATACGTTAATATTCTTATTAAGAATACTAAACTTTTGTCACATAGAGGCACACCTTTTTTCTTTTTGTAGTGTGGCTTATTTTTTGCCACATAAAATTTATAAATATGTAATCAAAGATATCAATCTTTTCCTTTGTAATTTCTGTCTTTATCAGCTTGCTTACAAAGTCCTTCTCAGCCTCAATACTTTAGAATAGCCATATCTTTTTAAAATATTTTTACAATTTTGTTTTGTACCTTAAACATTTTATTTTATTTATTTTTTTGAGACAAGTTCTCGTTCTGTTGCCCAGGCTGGAATGCAGTGGCATGATCATGGCTCACTGTAGCTTTGACCTCTTGGGCTCAGGTGATCCTCTTACCTCAGCCTCCCTAGTAGCTGGGACTACAGGTGCACACCACCATGCCTGGCTAATTTTTAAATTTTTTGTAGAGATGGGGTTTCACCATATAACCCAGGCTAAATATTTTAAAGCAAATGGAATTTATTTGGGCATATGACAGGTAGGGATTTAACTTTATTATCCCCTAAATTGTTAGCCCATTTTCCAGTATTTATACTGAGTAATGCATATTTTCTGTATGAGCTGAGGGTCTTCCTTCATCACATGCACCAGAGGTTTTTAAACTGTGTTCCACAGAGACACAGAGTTCTCCTTAGTTACTTCTGAAGTTTCTTGGGGAAAAAGGGGGGAAGAAAAAAGGCTAGTCTCTTTCTCCAGCTATTAGTGGAACATCTCTATTCCTTTTTTTGCTTTATATGTTGGAACTCCTTGTTAGATTTTATTTGAAGAAAGAATTCATCTTCCTTCAAATTAGTAATATAATTCTTAAAAAGTAAATATTTAAATCTGTTTCTGGCCCTTTTAATTTCTTCTATTGCTCAGTCTTTCTTTTTCTGCACCAGTTTTACAACTTAAAAAATTATGAAAGTTTTCAAACACACAAAAATAGAGAAATAATAATATAATGAAACTCCATATGCCCATCATTAAAAGTCAATAATTATCATGATCTTGCCACATTTGATTCATCTATCCTTTTTCTTTTTTGCTTTTAAAAAATTTTTGCCAAAGTATGTTTTCTCTTTTCTTTCTTGCCTATCCTTCTTTTTTCTTGTCTTCCTTCCTCTTTCTCTTCTTTCTTAACAATTTGTTTTCTTTTCTTCAATTTTCTTTTGTCCAGTCATCCTATCATTTCACCCACACATACTTCAGTATGCATCTGTTTTTTTAAAAAATGAAAAAAATGTTTTGTTACATAATCAAAATGCTGTTGTCACACTTAACATTCAAAATAATTCTGCAGTATCATCTCATACCCAGGCCATAATCAGCTTTACCAGATTGCCTCAAAAATGTCTTTTGAGAATGGTTTGTTCAAAATAGAATCCAGACAAAATCGTTCTATCTCTAGTGTTTCTTTAGAGCAACCTCTTCCCACCTTTTGTTTTTAGCCATTGGCTTGTTAAAGAAAACAATGAGTTAATCATTGTTATTTAGATCTCTTATGATCAAGGAAAATCTTGATTCTCCTCTTCATTCCACCTCCTCTTCCTTCATTCATTAGGACACTAATAAGCCACCCCCAACTTTTCAGACCAAAGGGCAGAGCAGTTAACACCAAAGGGGTGCTAGAGCTAAGGAAGAGTCACCCACCCCTGTGTTTGGTTGGGACTGAACTTGGCCAGAATGTGCTGGCCCCCACTCGTCAGGGCTTGCCTGGGGGGAGGTATGGAGTGGCCAATGTTGCAGTATTTCTTACATAGAGAAAGGGTATCTTGAAATATTATTGTTCATGCTTTTCTTTGCTACACTTTTTCCACTTGACCTTTTCCCTAGTAAATTAGTGGCATTGCCTAGAGGAGAATTAGGATTGGTACAACTGGAATGCTAAGAGCAAGAAACAGTCAGAATAAAACAGTCAATGTTCAGTTTTGGAACTTTAAAATAGCCTCTTGAAGCCTACATCAAAAACAATAGTTTTGAAAGCCAAAGCCTTTTATTTGCAGAGAACCGGGTTTTGTTGAGAGAAGAAAGGCCTCTTGAGAATCAAAAGGGAAGGCCCGGAAACATTAGGGATTGGGCTTTAACCACAGTGGAAAGAGACTAGAGGGAGAGCTGGACTAAGCTTCCTTCATCCTAGTTCTCCGGGCTGGGGGAGAGCAGGGACCTATGATGTTGCGGGGAGGCCTTGGGAAAGAGCCCAACACAGAGGAGGACATCAGCATGGAGAGACTGCAGATCAGTCCTAGCAAACTTGTGCAGGCCAATTAAATGCCTGGAGCTCATCCCCTGCCATCTAAGTGAGTCCCAGTGTTGCCTGAGCCAAAGAGCCATTCTTTTTACTACTGCTGGAGAGCTTTCTTCAGGACCAGCCTGCAAGTCGTGCTCAGATGGCCCAGCAGACGTGATTCTTGCCTGTGCGTAGAGGCGTTGTTGAACCTTACCCACATTGCCCTACATGGCAGAGGACACTAATAAGCCACCCCCAACTTCTTAGACCAGAGGGCAGAGCACTTAACACCAAAGGGGTGCTAGAGCTGAAGGAAGAGTCACCATCCGTGTGTTTGGGAGGGACTGGACTCTGGGGAGGCGTACTCTACGGCATTCACAAGTCACAGGTGGGAGGGGATCCCGCAGCCTTGTTTTGCTCCTGTCTTCTGGCCTAGTTGGTAACCTTTTGTCTCAATGTAATAGGTTTGTTCCACCAGATACAGCAGTGATCCTTAACCTCTTCTGCCTATTCAAGTCATGTGAGGGAAGCTTTAAAAAAATCTTGATACCAAGCCTTATCCCAAACCAATTGAACTGGATTGCCTGTGCATGGGGCCTAATGCCATTGTGCAACTGCAATATTTTATCTTTGTGAAGCCACTTAACTTTGTTTGGCCCACACATTGTCCCCATACAGCTATTTCAAAAATGCACGCTGGTGGTGCTAACAGACTAAGAACAAGAGTTTATTTATTTGTTTGTTTGTTGTAGATTGAGGGTTATATCCAGTCAGACAACCAGAAACAGAAGGGTTAACTGCAGCCAGTGGGGGAGGTGTTCGGAGAGAAGACAAGCTGCAGGTGATGGAGGAAGGCGAGCCCCAGCTGAGGGGGAGGTAACAGGCAACAGGTGGTTGTACTGTAGGGTGTTGGCATCAAGGAGGAACAGCATAAAATGACAGGGCATCAGGCATGGCAGGGAGCACAGCAGCGTGCATTCTAGGAGCAAACTATAGACAGGCCCCAGAGAGGTTCCAGTCAGAGGAAGCAGATAGGATTGGAATTATTCCTTATTATGGGCCTAATTGTGTCCCTCACCCCATACACCAAGTTCATATGCTAAACCCCCAACCCCCAGTACCTCAGAATTTGACTGTAGTTGGAGATAGGCCTTTAACGAGAAAGGAAAATTTTCTTTAAAGAGGAAAGGAAAATTTCTTTAAAATTTTCTTTAAAAATTAAAACTCTAAAGAGAAAGGAAAGGAAATTAAGGGAAAATAAGGTGTGGTCCTCAATCTAATATGACTTGTGTCTTTATAAGAAGACTATGGGAGGACACAGAGAGAATACAGCCATGTGCCAGCCAACTAGAGAGATTCCCAAAGAAACCAAACCTGCTGACACCTTGACCTTGGATTTCCAGCTTCCAGAACTGAGGGAAAATAAATTTCAGCTGCTGAAGCCACCTAGTTGGTGGTATTTTGTGATGATGGTCCTCACAAATGAATGTACTTTTATTGAAGGGATTGGCGAGAACAGGACAGGGTGACAGTCCTAGAGACGTGGTATTGTGCTGGATTCAGCACTAGACATGCAACAAGAGTTAGGGAATCTGGACAGGGTAAGGGAGTCAGGGGAAACAGGATTTCATGTATTTGTTCAATCAGTGTTGTTTTAGATCAACAATCTGCTCCATGCAGGGTGCTGTTCCAGACACTGAGTAGCCTGCCATTGCAGTGGTCCAGAGAAAAGATGATGTTCATTTAGATTATGACGATGTCAGTGGCTGGGCTGATCTGACACTCAAACAACCCAATGTGGAGGTGATGTCATTTAAATCTTCCTGATCAGGCAGGTACCTATTTGCAGAGGGTTCCAGTAACTTCATTTTCAAAGAGGGAACTGTGCGAGCAGAGACCAGGCAGGTTATTTATAACTAAACTAGGTATATGAATTTTCTCTTTGAGAGAGAAATTTTTAGTTTAGTTTTTACTGGCACCTAGGTTAGCAAATTTAGATGTTTGCCCAGATGTCTTCATCTCATGCTCTTAAATTTAACACATAACATTCCAACTTGATCTTAACTTTATTAGTTTTTCTAAAACATCAGAGTTTTAGAAACCATGTTTCCATGGAAAACACAAACATTTCCAGGCAATAACCCCATCATCTGTGCCACTGCAGACAATCATCAGATAAACTTCCTTAATTCACACCACATCTGCTCTCCCAGCCCTAGATGACCTTGAGTGCACGCGCGCGCGCGCACACACACACACACACACAGAGAGAGAGAGAGAGAGAGAGAAAATGAAACTACAAATTATTTTTTTCCCAAAATAAGCATCTAACCCAAATTGCCCAACCAATTTTCTATTAAATGAAAGACAAATTGTCAAGACCAAATCAGCCAACTTTTATTAAAAACTGGGAAGTCTTTCAAAAGCTTATAGGGTGAACCGTCACGTTAAACGTGACAAGTAGATAATAGGGAGAGTTGCATCTATATGGTCCCTGTTTATCCCTTTTACATTCCGATAAGTGGAGACTGCTTGGGCACAGGCATCTCTCTCCGCTTCATCGCTATAGAGGACCCTTTCTTCACCCCATAACTTGAAAAATTAAGGCAATGTGAGAGCCCAAGATATGCCAACTGATTTCTAGGGTGGTCTTGTTTCATTTGGCAGGCAGGGAAGTGGTATAGTAAAGGACACAGGCTTTGAAGTTAGACAACTTTGAGTTTACACACAGACTCTCCCTCCTCCTAGTCCTGTAATTATGGGCAAATCTCTTAACCCAAGTCTCAGTTTCATTAGCTATAAAATGGGGATAGTAATATTTACCTTATTGGCTTGTTGTAAGGATGGATGATATAACATGGATGAAAGCATCAACCCCTGCCTGGCAGTGTAGTATAAGCTCATTAAATAGCAACTCTGTTTAAGAGTAACGACTAAGGATGCTGTGGTTTTTTTTTTTTTTAAAAAAGCACCTGTTCTTTCTCAATGCCAGAACACAAAGGTGAAGCAGTGGATATGCCGCTTCTCCTTAGATTAATCATCTTTAAAATGAGGACATGGCATCAAGGACCTCAGAGATTCCTCCCCTCTGACTCCAGCCTTCTAAGGTCTTATAATCAGGGAGAAATGAACATCGAAAAGTGGGAAAAATTAAACCATCTTTCTGACTAGTTCCTTGGGAGACTCAAGCTGTGCTTCATCAGTACTTTCAGTTCCAAAGAGTGTAAGATCAAGTCAGCTCAAGAGAGCAGGGCTTGGATGAGGAGGCCTGGGTGGAGAGTACCGGTTAACACTGCAAAAACAATTCTTTCTTCACAGTAATACGACAAGAGCAAAGGGTACATTTGACCTTTTCAAGATTTTTAAAATGCAAAATACAAGGTATGCACATAATCTTGTTTACTGACTGATCCTTTAAAAAATCTGGCATATTAATAACTCCACTTAAGATACTGAAGATGGGAGCCAGAAGGAAACTTGCTCTTTCTGAACAATGACTGAGAAGGGAATTCTAATGAATATTTTGGCACACATATCTCATTTTCTGGCTGCTTTAGGACCCAAGAGCCAGGAGGTCATAATTAAAGCCAATAATGGCAACTCCAGATAGCCCACATATTTTCCTGGTGCTGTCAATTCTCTGCATTAAATGCTTTCACATTGTATTTGTGGAGTGTAGAACGTACACACAGAGGGAGAATTAAATGTTGATGTGAAATTTGGAATATTTGCTGCAAGTTGCCCCAAAAGATATTGTTTATTACATTGAAAGGAATTATACAATGTTTTCCTTATTAGATAATCTTAAATGACCCTTTCTGGGCTGAGAGCTGTGAAGTTTGTCCTTCTTTAAGTTGTCAGAACAAAATCGTATTTTGTGCAGACAAAGAAAACAAAAAAGGTGTTTGGGACTGAGGCCGCATGTCACGTAAGTAAATGAACTTATTCTACCTCCACTGCACCTTTTAGGAATGTTCTCTTTGGTCACCAGGAGTTATGCTGCTATAGAGTTAAAGCTACTCTACTCACTTTTCTGTCAATTCTACTTCCAAAAAGAAAACTCACAAATACATGTTTGCAAAATCTGTGTGCGATCCTGGAAACCAAGTCCTCAGCTTTATCTTTTTCCTGAACAATCTTTATTTTTAAAAAAATAATAATTCAAAATCCTCCAGCCCTACCCCTACCTTCCTCCATCCCTCCATTTCTACTTTAAATGATAAGATAATTTCCTCTTATAAGGAAATTAAGCATCTCAGCCTGGGCAAGGTATCTCAGGCCTGTAATCCCAGCATTTTGGGAGGCTGAGACAGAAGCCTTACTTGAGGTCAGGAGTTTAAGACCAGCCTGGGCAAGATAAAGAAATCCCCCTTCTTTAATCTAAGGGGGAAAAAAAAGTATCTCAGTCTAAAGTGTGTCTGAGAGAGATCTGAATCACCATTTTGGGATGGAACAAACTGACCAGTCACTTCTTAAAGGCAAAACTGGATTTGCTCTGCAAAACAATTCAGCAAAAGCTTGGGTTCTAAACTCCAGTGCTGCACTGTGACAATGGAAACTTTCCAGCCACAACTTGGAAGCTGGGAGCCAAGCACAATACTAAGTCAAGGAAGATATTTGAGGCCAAAACAGACAGTGGTCTTGGCACTGCCTGCTCCTGAGCCCAAGCTGCAGCAGCTGTGGGGTGGTGATGCAGCTTTCAGAGACCTCTAAATCTCTAAGTACACCAGAAACCAGATTTTATTAACTCCCATTTTCTCCTCCACTTTTTTTTTTGCTCCCACATTTCTGCCATGGATTATATCATAATAGACAGTGAAAATGCCGTCAGGTGCATACTCAGTTCTTAGGCATACTTCCACTTAATCATACTCAGGTTTCTTTGAGGGCCTCCACATTGCGAATGAGCAACACCTTGATACTGGGAAAATGAATATGAAACTCGGCCACAGCCTCTGTGATCTGGTCATTCAGTGGCAGTCACTTTCCAGCTTGGCCTACAGAACCAGGCAGGCCTCTGGCCTGGGGGTGGGGGTGTCGTGTTCTTTTGTCAAAATGAATAGAGCCCACATGAGAAGATGCAATACCCTTCACGTTACAAGATGTTAATGTGCCCGTTTCTGGGCCAGCTGGCTGACTCAGAGAGATTATTCGGTGACACTTTGTTTTCATTCCAGGCCAAAGGGTAAAAAAAAAAAAGTAAAGCTTTGCTGCCACCTGCTGTTTCTTTAGGAATAAATTCTTAAAGTGGTTCTAGGTTGATCATATATTGGTTTATCTTAGCCAAGTGCCTTGAAGAATTTGGTGGATTTGGGAATATATGTTTATTTAGTTGTGTACCAGCTGGACGGTCATTTCCTAGGATGAACTGTTGGGCCACATGGGTGGCTTCTCTCCTTCAGGTCATTAAGTCCTGCCTGCCCCATCCCTTGCTGAGACTCAGGAGGAAAGGGCAGACCCCCTGATCCCAGACAACCTTCCAAGGGAGTGCACATGAGGCTCTGATCAGTAAGGCTCCAGAGCAAAGCCTGGGAGGCTTATAGGTTTGAGTGTCTTTTCCTTATGGACCAATGACGTCTGAAGAGTATAACAGCAGGTAAATTCCATTCCCCAAGCACAGACTGTTCTCCACTGGGTGTATCAGTGGGTGGTATTCCTTGGAATTGCCTCTCAGAAGTGCTCTTCTCAGCTGTAAAGGTGGCTGTAAACCTTGGGATGAGGTTCATTTGTGGTGTCTCCAAATCTTTTATCTTTGTCTTTCTTGAAGGAACTGAGGCAGATTAAGGAAGAGGGGTCCAGAGGAAAGTAAAGGGTAGCTCAGTTTGAGTCACACCCAGGTGAGAGTACTTGAGCTCAGGTTAGATGATGAGAGGGATGAGTAAAACAGTGGCTCCTTGGAGCTCAAATAAAGAGCACTAGAGAGTTAACATAGTCATAAACTTAGATGGGCTTGATAAAGCCCTTAGTCATCTTAATGGAGGCATCCAGAGGACAGAGGCTGCCTTGCCTTGACTATATTAGTAGCTTGTTGCTGCTCCAAATCAGAAAGTGGGATTTTCCTTTTTGCCTTCTTCGGGAAGATCCATTTGTATGTAAATGAGTTCCTTTTGATTGCAGTCATTGTTGTAGTTGAGAATTCTTTCAACCAAGATATTTTTCTTGGCAAAGATTACTGAGTCTAATAAGTGTGCTTTCGTATAATTCTAAGTGACTTTTCTAAAGTCACCTAGATCTGGGACTTCTTAGATGAACACAGAATGAAGTATTAAGAAAATGACACTTGGTCTTTTCTTCTATCCAAGAGAAAAGGCATTTGAGTGGTAACTGATAAGCATTGAAGGTAAGTGATGGCTTATCACTGCGTCTGGCATTATAGCTGGCACATTTATTGACTCAGTGATCAAACTTATCACCCGTTGTTCTTCTCAGAAGGTTCATGAGACCTGTTGGGGAGGGACAGGGATAGAAAGGAACAGAAGGAAGAATCTCAGAGTTAGTCAGGGGGAGAGTCTGTAAATGGAGTGAACCACGGGAGCTAGCATGCTATGGTACAACCAAAATTAATACTGTATATGGCAAAATATACATGTGTATTGCATATAAAGTATACACAGTTCCTAAAATGATCAAACAAGGTTTGATTCTCCCTTCTGTGTCTCATTCCCTAAATATTATGATTGTTAATGTATTGCACAAGCTTGACCATGTTTAGGCTTCTTGCATTTTCTTGTTTATGTTCCCGTTGTTCTCCCTTAGAATTTTGTAAAGGCTCTGGAAAAGCTCCAGCCTGTTTCAGCTATGTGAAGAAGAGCTCAGGGAAGGAGTGTGTAGAACACTAAAGAAATGTCTGTCTCCTCACAGGTAGGGCGCTAGCATGATGCCATGGCAATGGGAAATGAAGCGGGAGATTTGAAGCAGGAAGGAAAACTCAGGACAACTGGGTTGGGATAGTGGTATCAGCTTCTCCCAGCCTCCTAAGGACTCTCTTGACAGTTGTTACGCCTTGAAGGTTCTGCCTGCTCCTGACCTCCCTGCCCCAGGAAAAGAAGCAACTTCTCAGGAGAATGATGAGGTTGGTGCTTACCTGTGTGCCTCATTTGAGTAGCATGTGAGCGCCCCATTCTTTGCATGTGTTCATTCTTCTCCCCTTAGAAATCTTGTCTCAGCCGAAAGGTCAGAGCTGAAAGTTCCAATCTGCGTCTGCACTCCGGGATAGAGAAGAAAGTATAGTAATTGCCAGGAGAACTGAAGATGACCTTAAGGCAGGCCAGGTGACTGGTGAGCTCTACCCTTCACAAGGCTACCAGAGCTCTAGCCTGGCCAATATTATTTTGCAGGGGAATTTATTAGAATCCCTGGTGACTAAATGAATATGGTCATCACTATTTCTACAAACCTGTCTTCTGACAAACATATATTCCTGCTGGATGGTGTCATGACATGATTGTTTCTTGAGTGTTTTACATACCAATTATTGCCCCTCCTGTTATGGCCAGTAACTAGGATGCTGTCAAGAAAAGACAGTGGGACTTCATTGAGCTTAAAAAGAGCATTTCAAAAACATTGCATTAGCCTTTTGTCCTTTCAGTCTGTTTTTCCTAGAACAAATGTAATCTTAGTTGCTACAAATTCTGTTTAAAATAGCTCTTCTGGTGAGTCACCTAAAGTTAACTGCAGATTTGATATTGTTTTAGCCATGTCAAGCGTGAAGTGTTAGCCAAGTCCTAGTAACTAGTCATGGGGGAAGCTGATGATATATGTGATATCACATGTGTTTTGAGGATGATCCTATAATGTCCAGAGGGAAAGAAATGACCAGCATGAGCTGGTCAGCATTACACATCTCAGAACAGGCTGCAAGAGCTTCAGGAGCAAAAGGAGTGTTCTCCTTAGGCTCAGATGCTCACATGACCCAAGACACGGAAGATTCTGCCCACCATTGACCTCTCACTCCCTACAAGTGGTCAGAAACTCAGGAAAATCTCTGAGGCCATACAGAAGTGCCGAAGGACCTTGCAGATGTTCTGAGCAAAAAATGAAAGCTTTAAACAGAATATTATGCCATGGCTTGAAAGGTCATTATCTAGTTCACACTTACATCAGACTATAAATATTGTCAGAAAAATGAATATGTTTGCCAGGACCATGAACAGTAAAATAGCTCAAAATAGGCCACAGAAACCCTCTAGGCCAGTGTGGCCATGGCAGGCCATGACACTCAAACCTGACGCTGCCTTGTGAGGGACCTCAGCAGGAACACGATCCAACAGCTGCTTATCGTAAAATTTATACTCAATGGATCTCAAAAATTGCAAAAGCTTTCAAGTCATGTGAGTTAATTTTGTCTCCCTCTTGCACCAGGTAGAAGTGGAACAGGGAGACTCATGCTCCTTAAATGAGGTCCCCTGTCAGAGACCAGCTGTCTTATGGCCTCTGAATACTCTGCCATCCCCCCTACCTATACTATAGCTTGGTGTCCAGTTAGCACTGAACAGAAGCTGCTCTCCTGCTGTCTCCACCCACTGTTGGCTAAAGCCAGGTCACCTCCTGCCAGGCAGTGGCTGGGTGAAAGTCCAGAGCAGCTCTCCTGAATAAACAAGTCAAACAAAGGCAGTTCCCAGCAGTGGATGGGGCTGTACTCCAGAAGTCTATTTGCAAATCTGTCCTTTGGAACTCAGATGTTCCCTAGGGGGAGCAATGTTATGCACTGTGGCAAGGTTCCCAGGCTAGCCCACACCTCTGATTTAATCCAGAATAGACCTGGAAAGCAGTGCTCTAGGACTCATCATTATGGGTAATACATTTGCAGTCTCTGCTCTTCTGTTTATAAATAGTTGCTGAGCTAGGCATGGCCCCAGGTGATGTGAAGGTTCAAAGCTGCCTCAGCTTTGTCGAGTAGGTAGTTTTAGTGGCTCCTGGGTACCAGCACAGTGGCTGAGATTTTCCCAGTCTCATGAAATCCTTGCACCTCTTTCCCATCTACATGGTTTAGGCTGAAGGTAAAGGGATGACCATTCCGGCTTTTCTTTGGTTTGTTTCTTCAAGAGAGCCTGGTGTAGGGAAGGGTGAGAATCTTGGCCCCACTATTACCCAGCAACATCTCCAAGCTTCAGTTTCTTCTCTGAAAAATGGGATAATATGTAGCTAAGAGGGCCTTGGAGTTGTTTCTCTGGGTAACTACCATGACTTTTGTTAGGGTATCCACATCTCCTCCAATAGACCATTCCTCTCCCGAAGACTCAGGCCTAGTGCAATTCCATTTTAAGGTCATTATTATAGAACCAGTGATGGGTGCTGGCCTAACTCAGGCCAATAAGCTTGTATAAGTTTACTGGCTTATTTCCAGAAAAACAAGTTTCCTTTCTCCTGCTAGATAAGAATGGGAGATATATGTGGTCTCAGTAGCAATAGAAAGCCACTTTGAGACTAAAACACGGACAAGCCCTAGATGGAAGCTCTCGTTGTGGATGGCAGAGTGGAGAGATGGAAACTAGAACTCCCTGATAAAGTGGTGGAACTCCTAAACTGACCCATCCTCAATCCTGTTATACTTCCACTGTTTCAAATGTGTAAACCAATCATTTCCTTCACTTTGTATCCCATAGTGAGTTGAGCTTTCTGCTCCTTGCAGTGGAAGACATCTTAATCAATACATTATAGCACAGGATTTACTGTGAGTATTAAATGAGATATAGCATTCACAGTATCTGTCTCATGCTGAAAAAAGAAAAAAAAATCTGTAGTATTTAGTACAGAATTTATATAAGACCCCTGCCCTTCCAATCCAAGGGCATTAATGGAAGAGACCACAGCTTCTCAGGCCTTTGTTGGATAGGGAAGAAGAGGGCATGTGTAGGCTCCAATAAGACCTTAACCTGGTTTGAAGCATGAGTATCTTCCCTAGGCTGGAAAGGTAGCCCCTCTGTACTGGCTTCAGTTTTAGGATCAGCCACTTTATAGGGAGTGGATCTTGTAACCTGGGGTTTCCCTAGTCCTTGGCAAGTATACATATTGAAGAGGGTTGGGGGACAAAGAGAGAAGAGAGAAGAAAGGAGAGAAGCATGATTTGCTGGTGCAATAATGAAAGGTCTTACCTATCTTTGGGATTGAGAATAATCTCTCCTCTCTTTCTCCTTTTTCCTCCTGTCTTCCTTACATTTTTTCCTCACTTCCAGTTCTCATTGAGCTGAAGAAGAAAGGGAAGTCAAGGCTGGGATGGATCCCTGGCAAAGAAGTGGAAGTATATACTAGAGGGAGAAAAGGGAGCTTGTATAAGCTAATTCAGATGAGTTTAGATTCCAGCGTAGCACACATCTCAGTTTTCTGACTAAATGGTGGCTTTAGACTCCTGTAGGAGGTTGGCAAGGCTGGTTTCTTGGAGTTTTTGCATGAAGAGCAGGAAACTAGGCAGAGCAGGCTGGTTCAAGGATGAAGGATTCTGTTATGACTAATAGGAAAGAGGAATCATTTGGAGTACACATAGCGGCTATATGTCACATTTCAGTCATTTCACTACCCCCAATTTAGCCCAAGTCACCAGGGAGAAGATACTGCAATAAAAGAAAAAGTTAACGAAAAGCTGACATTATTGAAACCTGAAGGAACTTGATTCATAAGACACCATTGCTTTGTAATTGTGCTATATTAGAAGGGTGGAGCGCATTTGTCCTAGTTTAGCATACTTCTTTTGAGAGTACACTAGAACACAGGATGGAAAAGGAGTGTGAGAAAACATTATTTCACAAAAGTAGGTCAAGGGTACCATGTTCCAACTGTGAAATGGATGCCTAGAAATGAAAATAGAACTCCAGTGTGGTCTGACCAGAGCAGGATTGAGCTGCCACCCTTTTATCAGGACACTAGATTTATGGCTGTGGTCAAGAATTGCCCTAGTCTTGTTTTTTATCGGTCACATTCCAATAATGCCTCATAATGAATCCATGGTCAATTAAAAATCCAGTTGTTTTTCACATGAACTGCTGCCAAGTCAGGAATCCCTATGCATTTGTGCTGTTGATTTTCTTTGAACTAAATACAGAACTTTACAATGATTCTTCTTGAAAGTCAGGCTGTTCGGATTATTTTGTATCTTGCTTATTTTATATATTAGCTATTACTGTTAAACTTTGTCCTTACCTTCTTTGTCATTTAAGACATTTATAAAAATATTGACTAGGGCCAAGTGCAGTGGTTCATGCCTGTAATCTCAGCACTTTTGAAAACCAAGGCGGGAGGATTGCTTGAAGCCAGGAGTTTAAGACCAGCCTAAGAAACAAAGTGAGACCCCATCTTTACAAAAAATTACAAATAAAATTAGTTGGGTGTGGTGGTATGTGCTTGTAGTCCCAGCTACTTGGGAGGCTGAGGTAGGAGGATTGCTTGAGCCCAGGAACTTGAGGCTGCAGTGAACTGTGATTGCTCCACTGCTCTTGTTCCAGCCTGGGTGACAGAGTGAGTGTGTGTATGGCTATTCAGTCAGTGGCCAAAACATCTCACGGTTTTTTTTTTTTTGAGACAGGGTCTTACTTTGTTGCCCAGGTTGGATTGCAGTGGCGTAATCTCAGATTACTGTAGCCTTGATCTCCAGGGCTCAGGTGATACTTCCACCTCAGGTTCTTAAGTAGCCAGGACTACAGGCACACTCCACCATGCCTAGATAATTTTTGTATTTTTAGTAGAGATGGGGTTTCGCCATATTGTCCAGGCTGGTCTTGAACTCCTGGCTCAAGTGATCTGCCCACCTTGACCTTCCAAAGTGCTGGGATTACAAATGTGAGTCACTGTGACTGGTCTTGTGGTATTTTTACACCACTTTTCCTCCGCACCGTATTCATCTCTGGATCATGAGGTGCATTGTGTATTTTCTTTATGAAATCAAGTTACACTGACTCTGGCATTTCCACCCTGACGGCCTGGCACTGGCCTAGTATCTTGCATGTAATAGGCTCTCAATAAATGTTTGTTGAATTAAAATGAATTCTGTGAATCATCAGCATAATAAACACATATTTAAAAGAAGGAAATGAGGCATGATTCACTGATGAACCACTTGGGTGCTCAGTGCTCTTTATATTCTTTTTTTGTTGTTTTAAGTAAAAATGTAAAAATGTCACACATTACAGGAAAATAAAATGTCAACTATGATTGACAATTTACATTATGCCAACTATCATAATTATCAATACCCATAATTATAATTTTTTTCTTTTACAAAAAATGTAATCAAAAAACATAATCAAACATAAAGTTCTGCCACTTTTGGACCTAGGATAGGAAAATTGATGGGCTAAATCTGGGGTAATGAAATGACCGAAACGTGACTTACAGCCACTATGTGTACTCCAAATGATTTCTCCTTCCTATTAATTATAACAGAACCCTTCATTCCTGAACCAGTTATATGTAGCTTCATTTTAAAATTTAATCTATTTTGGCTACCTTTCTATTACTCAATAGAATTTCGTTGCTTGAATCTTAGTCTCTTCTAAGTGTTTAACACATTGTCTGTTTAAATTCATTAGGTTCTGATATAATAATCATTTGTTTTCAAATTATGTAGTTAATCTATTTTTTTTTTTTTTTTTTTGAGACAGGGTCTTGTTCTGTTGCCAGGCTGGAGTACAGTGGTGCTAACATGCCTCACTGCAAGCCTTGACCTCCTGGACTCAAGTGATCCTCCCACCTCAGCCTCCTGAGTAGCTGGGAGTACAGGTGGGTGCCATTATACCAGCTAATTTTTGTACTTTTTGTAGAAATAGTGTCTTACTATGTTGTCCAGGCTGATCTTGAACTCCTGAGCTCAAACAATCCTCCCATCTCGGTCTCCCAAAGTGCTGGATTACAGGCATGAGCCATCATGCCCAGCCTAATCCATTCTTCCTAATGTATATTAAACACCTATCATATGCTAGACCTTGTGTCAGAACATTGAGGAATTAAAAAGAAAATCTGGGCAAGGACCTGGCCCTCCAGAAACTTGGAATCTGATAGAGGTCACAAAATAAGCACATTTATAGTATTGGAACAAGGCTCTCTGTGTTAGGGTCTACTACAGGGAGTGTGCCATGTGCTCTGGGGCCTTGATTAAAACAAAGCATTTTAATTTTCTCTCTCATGGGACTCCCTGGAGCTTGAAGCAGCAGCCAAGAGATGTTCAGACACCTGAGGCTTTCATCACAACCAAAGTTCTTCTGTCACTCTTGGACCTAGGATAGAAAATTGATGGGCTCTCTGCCTTCGGACAGCTCCCATTTGGGCAGTGTGTGAAAGAAGAGGCACTTACTTTGGATGAGGGTCCTGTGCCCCTTCCTTTTTTCCATGACCATCAGGTAGGCCATGTGGTCCTGATCACAGATACCCTGACAGAGGGAGAAAGAGGAAAAGACCAAAAAACAGAAAACATGAAGAAGCAGAAACACTCTTAGGGTGACCTTCATGAAACCTCACCTCTGGAATTCATACTTTGTTATAATCCCCTCTCCTTGAGTGTGGATGTGGCCTGTAGCTTTTCTACCTAGCAGAATATAGTAAAGGTGATAAAATGTATGTGATTATTATGTTGATATGATATTAATATCAGTGCAATCTTGCTAAACTGCTCTCTTGGCTTGGAGAAAGGAGATGGCTATGTTGGGAGCCGCATGCACCAAAGAACTGCGGGCAGCCTCTAAGAGTTGAGGGAGCCCACTGGTTGACAGGCACCATGAGACTGAAGCCCTGAGTCTTATTAATGCAACAACAGGAAACGGAATTCTGCCAACTGAACTCTGAGTGAGTTTGGAGAAGATCTTTCCCTAGACCAGCCTCAGATGAGATCACAGCCTTGGCTGACACCCTAATTACAGCCTTGTGAGATCCTAAGCAGAAAATCCAGCTAAATCAAGCCTGGACTCCTGAACCACAGAAACTGAGATAATAAATTTGGGCTCTTGTAAGCAGTTAAATTTGTGATAATATGGGTAAACAACAATAGTTAATTAATATCCTAATAATCTCTTTTGCCTTCCGTAACAACTGCAGGAGAAAAAAATGATCATAGGGAAGGGAGATTGGAAGCAACCTCTCTCTATGAAGAGAAGAAAATGACCAGAGAAAGAACCTTTGCTGTGAAACTACCACATTCATTCATTCATTCATTCATTTGTTAAAGATGTTAAAGTAGAGATATGTGTATCAATCAGCCTTCAGGGAAGGCGATTGGCAGGGACTGAATTGTGTTTCCCTGTGTTAGTCTGTTTTCACACTGCTATGAAGAACCACCAGAGACTAGGTAATTTATAAGGAAAAGGTTTAATTGACTCACAGTTCTGTACAGCTGGTGAGGCCTCAGGAAACTTACAATCATGGTGGAAAGGAAGGCAAGCATATCTCACATGGTGGCAGGAAAGGGAGGGTGGGGGAAATTGCCTAACACTTTTAAGCCACCAGATCTTGTGAGAACTTGCTATTATAAGAACAGCATTGGTAAAACTGCCCCTATGATCCAATCACTCCTACCAGGTCCCTCCCCCAACATGTGGTGGTTACAATTCAAGATGATATTTGGGTGGGAACACAGAGGCAAACCATATCACTCCCCAAATTCATATGTTGAAGCCTTAACTCCCAGTACCACAGAATGTGATAGGGCCCTTAGCTGGATGTGGTGGCAGATGTCTAAACCCCAGCTACTTGGGAGGCTGATATGATTAGCTTTGTGTTTCCACCCAAATCTCATCTTGAATTGTAATCCTCAGGTGTTTAGGGAGAGACCTGGTGGGAAGTGATTGGATTATGGGGGCAGTTTCCCCTGTGCTGGTCTCATGGTAGTGAGTGAATTCTTTTGAGATCTGATAGTTTTATAAATGGTAGCTTTCCCTGTGCTGACACACACTCTCTCTCGCTGGCTGCCACGTAAGACATGCTTGGTTCCCCTTCCACAATGATTGTAAGTTTCCTGAAGACTCTCCAGCTATGTGTTATGCTGAGTCAGTTAAAGCTCCTTAATTCATTAAACTTCTCTCCTAAATCAAATGTATAAAATGCATTAAAAAGAAGAGGATTTATAAAGAGGATTTCTTTGGAAAAGTTGTGCAGCGAGTTTTATTTCCATCAACCCTGAGGAATAAGGCTGATGCTTTTCCTATCACCTCAGGTCAAGGGAGAAGGGATTAAATAGGACCAGCCTGAGAACTTGTTATGTATCCC